TCTGAAGAAGGTGTGAATCAAAGTACATTGGCTTGTGTTTGGTTGTGGAGTGAAGTGGTATGGTCTGAAGTGATTTGTACTATTAGGGAAAAGTCACACAGTGGCTGAAATCCAGTAGTAAGTCGCAACTAGCCCATTAAATCAATGGAATGTATGGAGGAGCCAACTCACCAAATCCCCACTGATTCAATGAGCCCACTCTAGTTGTGACTCTCATTGTGAATTACTACTGGATTTCAATCAGTTTGTCTCCAACATGACCATACAAGGTTATATATAGTTAGTAATACTGATCCTATATTTCTTTACTACAGCCACATTTGCCTGATTTTAGGTGATTTTTAATATATACATAATCCAATGGTATAGTACACCCATTCTAAGCAATACTTGCTAGATACATCATATGAATACATACATTGTGTATGCAAATTTATAAAAGTGAATTTACAAATAAATGTGTGTCCAAGCATGAATCAAAGTGGGTGAAGTAAATGTTCTTTCAGCATTTTTATTTTGAAAAAAGAACAGAATTTAGAGTTGCTTAGTATTTTAAAATCACACTCCCAGAAGTAATAGGAAGAAATAAATCCCCAAGAACATAAAGGATATTAACATCCACTTCAATCTTACAGACACTGAATTTAGCAACATCCTACCCACATTATGCCCACAAACATGGGCAGGGGTAGGACCAGTGTCCCTCACACTGGAAACGTTCAACATATACCCAATTGCCAAGCAGAGGATACATCAAAGATTGCAATAATTACGAATTATAGAGTTTCATTTTCCATATAAACAACATGCTTGGTAAAGATTTTACAACCAAGATTTTTATTGTATATGGAATACGAAATGAGGAGGAAACACCAGAGATCATATTGCAAATATATGTTGGCTACTGAAGAATAGCAAATAATTTCAGAAGAAAATCAGATTCTGCTTTACAGATTGCAGTGAAACCATTGATTATGTGGATCATGAAAAGCTGTGGATCATTCTTACAGAAATGGGTGAGCCATAACATTTGGTTGTACTGAGGCACGACTTATACTGGGTGAAATTCAGTAATAAGTCAAAACTAGAGTAGGCCCATAGATTCAAAAGAACTTACACAGGTATTGATTCACCATATCCCCACTAACTCAGTGGGCCCAGTCTAGTTGAGACTTACTACTAGAGTTCAGTCACTGTGAACAAGAAACTACTGTTACAACAGAATACGGAGAAGGTGTAAAAGTAGGATTACAACCGAAAAGACAAAAAGAATGACCACAGAAGAAATACAAAGCCTTAACACTGTCAATGAAGAAACTGAAATGGTTAAAGAATTTTAATACCTTCACTCAGTCCTCAACCAAATGGAAAATGCAGCCAAGTAACCAGAAAACTGATACTTGAAGGGATAGCTATGAAGGAACTAAAAGGAACTAAAAAGGAACTAAAAAAAATCCTTAAGAGTAAGGATTTATCACTGGAGACCAAGGCCAAGATCGTCCATATTCTGGTACTCCCAACTACAATGTACAGGTGTGAAATATGGACAATGAAGAAAGCCGACAAGAAAAAAGTGATTCATTCAAAATGCAGTCTTTGAGAAGAGCTTTGCAGAGACTCAGACTGCCAGAGACAAATAAATGGGTTATAGATCAAATCAAACCTGAGTTGTCAAGAGAAGCTAAAATGACTAAACTGAAGTTATCATATCTCAGACATACCAGAATAAGACAAGACTTGCTGGAAAATGTTAGGGAAAATTGAAGACAGAAGGAAAAGAGGAAGATCAAACACAAAATGGACTGACCCAATAAACGAAACCATAATCTTTATTTTGTAAGACTTAAGCAGAGTGATTTATGCCAGAACATCTGGAGGCCATTAATTCATAAACCTCCTGTATGTTAGAAATGACAGTAAAATTATGAGAAAAACTCTGTCAATTTGATATACTGGTTCTATGGCGTCCTTGAGAAGCAGGGTCTGTATTTCGTCCTGCAGGGTTTGCAATGGAGGTGTGACAGTGTGCATTGGCAGAGGGAGCTGATGGAATTGAATGTGGTGCCCGCTTTGGATGATGGAAAGGACCCAAGCATCCATGGCGATGGCTTCCCAATCAGGTAAGTGTTTCCAGAGGGCAGGAGGAGAAATGTGGTGTGTTGCAATCTCAGTCTGTTGGACGTCAAACATGATGCTTAGCTTTGCGATCACTGTGCCTGGTCGTGGTTTGTTGGCGTGGTTTGGCCTGGCAATTTTGTTTTTTGAAGTAGGGTGTATAAGAGGTTTGCCTCAGGTTCGTGATGGAACTTCTGGTAGGAGTTGTAGGGGCGCCTCCATTGAGTATGTTGGGGGTGTTGTTGGTATGAAGGGTAGACTCCCCAACGTCCAGCGGCTGATCTCTTTTTCTGGACATTTTCCAAAATGTCATATGTCTCCGTATTAAAAAGACCTGTCCCATCGAAAGGGAGGTCTTCAATGTGTACTCTCACATATTCAGTGAGGCCAACTGTTCTCAACCAGGAAAAACACCAGATCATGGACTCAATAAAGGTTGTCAATGCGCTTCGACATCGAGTGTGATGAAGCTGGTTTTGTCCAGGAATGTTCAGCGGCGCTAAGTAGGGACGGTAACATGTAAATGTGGACCGGAGTAGTTGTATCTTTGGAGATCAGATTGTAGAGGTGATCCACCAGCTCAGTTGTGGGTCTGTGTATCTGGAACTTGGCCATACCCCCCATTAATTATGCATACATTTGAAAATTCTCCACTGGAGATGGAGGATCGGCATCTACCAGATCAGATTTCGAATAAGTCAGCAAGATAGATGGTGTCTGTGGTCTGGAGCCTTATTTAGAATATTTGACATTGTGTCTAGATTTCGTGAATTGATGATTGGCATCGATGTCGAAGGGTTGCTCCTCAAATATTGACAGCGATGTTGAAATATCGATGTCGATAGGATGTCCATGGACATCAGTTGGAATCGGGGATCATCCATGGGCAACAATGTTGATGGAACATCCACGGACATTGGTCGTTATCGAGGATCATCCATGGGCAACGATGTCGATGGTACATCCATAGACAGCGGTCAATATCGAGGATCGTCAATATCTGAGCCTGTATCTTGATGGTGACAAAGTGGAGGCTTAGTCAATGGTCGGTATCGAGGATCGTTGATGTTGAAACCAGTATCCCAGTGGTGACGAAAAGGAGGGTGTTGTCGAGATAGTAAAAGCTTTGATGGACCACATTGGATGGCTGTGGAACAGATGGAAGCTGGTGATGCCGAGCAGGATGATCAATCCTGATCTTCTTGGCAGGCTAGGAAATACCGGCTTACTGGAGCTGCACATGTACTGTGAGCTGAAGAATATTGATCGGCTGTTCTGGATCTCTTAGGTGCCAGCTGATAGGCAGTCTGTAGCCTCTGACAATCCTGATGGTGAGATCGTTTTCACACCAAGGGCTGCCGTGAGTGAGGCTCCTGGTAAGGCACTGCCGTTGAACTGGGGAAAGTAACCAATTCATAGCGTTTGGCAGGCTTTCTAGTTGAGGACTGATCGGTGCAAATGGCTACCCGATAATGGTGCTGGGCGTGGGCCGGCACCACACGCAGAGGCATGTTGCCAGTCTGGGATAGTTAGTGCCCATGATGAAGAGACCGAGGTGGGAGGCTTGCTGGAACAGAGTAGGGCACGGTATCAGGTTGCATTTCTGCCCCTTGTATATCAGGTAAAGCAACCAAAGAGATCTCGCTAGGGGAGTCAGTTTGCTGGGAGCTGGTGGGGAAGGATATAAGTTGATCCACCCGCTCTTCCCATTCTGGCGATTGTCTGGTAGGTGTGATGGAAGCACTATTAAATCTCTGGCCTCCGAGGTTTGCGGAGAAGAAACCCCAAGGGATTTCACCTTTGAAGATTTGGACTTTTTTGGTGGTGAGGGATCTGGAGCTGAAGAGGCGTCGATGAATGGCTTTCTTTTTGTGGTCGTTTTTGATGTTGGAAGATTTTGACATTGACTGTTTAGCTTTTTCCATGGCTTTTTCTTGTGAGGTAGTTTTACAAGCAGGCTGAGCCATAGCTTTTGCAGGTTGAAGGGATTGTTCCCAAAGCCGAAGCTTAAGCCTATAAAGGCGACTGCGGAGAACTCCGCCCTTAAAGTTCTTATAGTGAGGGGGACACGAAGGTTTGGTGAACCTCACCAAGGCAAAATAAACATTTAGCGTGGCCCTCCGAAAGTGGGATTTTATTGTCACAGACCACTATATACAGTGACAAATCTATCAGCAATTACATTATAAATTTTTAAAAGTATGCTCAATTAAAAGGGTGACATCAATGAAAATACGTATACACACAAACACCTATTACTTGTCATATCCTTTGAAGTCATTAAGGCTGACAAAATTATTGAAGTGCTACCCAATCTAGCCTGAACAGATGTGCATGACAAATAAAAGCACACTTGTTGACCTATTTGCATCTGCAGGAACTCTGTAGACTTGGAGGGAAAATGTACATGGTGTAAAGCTTCTAAGGGGTGGCTAAAGCCCTAATGCTGTTTATTTTGATTTCCCTATCCCCATTCAATTTTAATTAGCTCTATGACTTCAGATTCACTACTGCAATGTTATGTAATTTCTAGTAAAGCTAAAATTTAGGCACACCTGCTCTTTATACAAACAAAATTGTACAAATGTGAAGTGTTGTCTAAGTTGTTTCCTGTTGACCTTTGAAATATGCTTGCCTTTATCAACACATTTCCATATTAAGTGACTTCATGTGAATGTACTGTGCCTTTTAACATATTATTTGATTTACTGAAGCCAGCTGGCAAGTAAGAAGCGTGCACAAGTTGATTCACACTTTGGAAAAAACTATCTTTAAATATTCCAGAGCTATTCTCTCGCTTAAAAAGAACTGTGTAAAGATCATATATAAGAACTGTAATGGATCTGGAAAAAAAAAAGCACAAAAAGAGCACATATTCTACTTACTGTTTCCAGAGCTGATATTCTCTCCTGAAAAAAAAGGGAAACCATTATTGTTTTTTTAAAAATTAAGTGTTATATGGGTAAACCTATAAACAGCTTCATAAATCTTTCATTACAAAAAGCAAAAGCAAAATGTGCTACTTATATATCACACCATGCCACTTAAAGCACTCTCTGTGCATTTTACAATTTAATTATGAGCCTATAGATTGCACACTCACCCAGTAAGCTGGGTACTCAAATTATCAACCTCAGAAGGATGGAAGGCTGAGTCAATATTGATTCCCTAGATTCCTGCTTTCCCCCTCCACTTTCTTGGGGAAAAAGCGCTTTACCCCTCCATTTTCTTGCGAGGAGTGGAGGGGGAAACAGGGATCAAAGCACTCCCCCCTTTACTACATTGTATAAAATGATCCTCAATTTTTTCCTCTAATTATTTTAGGAAAAAGTGCTGTCCTGACATGGGGGAGGAGAAAATTGAGGGGACTCAGGTAGCCACTATTTCAGAATCATGAAATCACCCCTGCCCCTCCAGCTACACTTGCTCCACCAGATGCCAGAACTAGAAGTGGTGGCACTAGTAGAGATTACAAGCTAGCAATGTGTTAGCAACATACAGTCAAAAACTGGAGTTCCAAAGAAGTCCATAATCTGGAAGCATTTTCAACATAATCTGGAAGCATTTTCAACAGGGTGCAACAGATGCTCACATAGCTGAGTGCATGCTCAAGCATAAGCCGGACTTGGGCCACCTCACCAATAGTAGCCTGTTCAGCCACCTAAAGAGTTAGCACATTGCTGTTGGCAAATGAAGTGAGTAATGTGAGGGCAAGTGGCTTCCTTCCTGTGAAGTGTAAGAGCCATTAGAGACAGAGATTGAAGCACCAGCCAAAGGTAGCAAGGAGGTAGATGGGCAAATAGCAAAAGGTGGGAGGCAGTAAATACCAGGCCCACATTTGAAGAAAAAATTCCAGGCTACCCTGGATGAGCTAGGAGGAGGAAAGGCCTGCAAATATAAAAATGCCATGATTACTCATTGCCTAGTAGAGATAACAAACCTGGAAGACCAGCCATTTTCTCTGGTAGAGAGCGGTGCTTTCCATACGTTTCTGGCAGAACTGGAACACCATTACCAATTGCCATCCAAAATTACTGTTAGCTACAGGGTGGTGCCAGATTTATATTGGGGTGTCAGACAACTGGTATAGTAGGAACTGGCCAGGGCACAGGTGGTACATTTTGCAAATGACATCTGGAGCAGCCAAAGTGCCAAACATGTCTATCTCTACCTGACAAGACCCTTGTGGAAGCATAGAATAACACACAAAAGCAACCACACGGCTCACAACATAAGAGGGTCTGAAGGACATGCACTAAGATATCCTGCAGAGCAGGAAGAAACTAGCAATGTTCATAGCATCCCAAACAGCAGTACTACCACTTGTATTCTAGAAATGAAGTCCCTCGCATCTGCAAGTAAAGGGAAAACTTCTGGGACGCTATCTTGACAAACATGGCAAGGGCCTGTTCTTCAGAGAGGAAGCTACTGGCTTCTTCACCTCAGAGGAAGGACATGGCAGAGGTAGAGGCCTACAAGCAGGAGCCCTGCAAGCCAAAAGAGACCAATTCCTTGTCTTACTGGGCTGAGGAGGGGGTCTTTTTGGGGAGGTCTGGCTAAGGTGGCAGTGGAACTGCTGTCTTGCCCACCAACTAGTATGCCCAATGAAAGAATGTTCTCTCAGGCAGGGGACACAGTCCACACCACTCACACCTGGAATCTGGATCTGTAAAAAAAATTATTTTCCTTAAGATCAACCTACTGTTGCTGGGCTGCAAAGCAGTATTAGCTATGCCATGCTTCAATCTGCTGCCTCTCCCTTTGCGTCTTTCGTTCTTCCAACTGCTACTCCAAGATTATGCTCACTCACTCAACTGTGCTATGCCCAAAACTGTTGGCACGGTTCCCACCCACCACAGTTTGTCTGCTGCTCTAAGCTGCTTGTCAGTGCTGCCCAGGGTATTCACCAATTCTCCAGTGCGACTTGTCCTCTGCTTCCCCAATGCTGCTGTCATTTCCTGCTGGCCTTCCCACAATTCAGGGTTTAATCAGTATGCCATTTACTGACTGACTGACTGACTGACTGACTGACTGACTGACTGACTGACTTACTTTGTTAGCCACCTAGAGTGGTCCTGAGCTGACTAGATAGGCGGGAAAATAAATAAATAAATAAATAAATAAATAAAGGGTTGCAATTCTGAATTCTGAATTCTGAATTCCAAATCCAAATTTCAGTACTAGTGCTACACTCATATTTCACTTTTCCTTCAGTGGCTTCAGGGCAGTGGACATGGCTCTTCTCATAGCAACTCTTGAGAGGCAGACTGGGCTGGGTAAAAGTGATTAACCCAAGATCACCCAGTGAATTTCATGACTCTACAGGGAATAGAAGCAGGAGACACACACACCCTAATTCTAGTTCAATAGTTTTAACTACTACATTACACTGGCCCTCATACAATGGTCTGTTCTAACTACGGCCTGATGCATTAAGCCCATGGACATCAAGAGTGAAACTAAGCTAAGTCATGTCTGTGCAGAATGCATAAAGGGAATCAGAAGCAAAACTTGTTGATCACCTTGTAAGCAAAGAGAACAGAACAGATGGGGAAATTGTCTTAATTTACTCAGTGTATCACTAATCCAGTGCATAGTTTACTAACCCACTTTAAACTACAGTACTGGCTTCACACCCTTACTTGATCTATCCTTAGCCATGATTTAGGAAGACAGATGTTCCACTTAACCATACTAAGGACACCAACCACAGGACTCTGCTATAAGCAGTTACAAAGGCAAATTTACAGCATATGCAGGCCAAAGGCGTAAATCCCTTTCCTTGAGAGGAGGAAGAAGGGGAGGATAAATGTCTGTTTCCTCATGCTGATAAAGCTTCTATAAAGAAAGCAACCACAACAAATACTCTTAAAAACCACACTGCTATTTTGCAAGTTATTCGTAAATGTATTCAATAGCGGGCCTTTGATCTTGCCCTTGCATGCGGAACCCCCTCTCACACATCTAAAATGGTAGCCTCATGCACTCTGTACCTGAAAATTTCATTACATTTTATGTACACTACCATTGTATTTATTTCATTTCTTCTGTGAAGAAAGGCTGTTTCCAATCCATTTCCCTTTGATCGCTCACACTTTTACACGTATTTTTGCTATGGTCATAGCACATTTAATTGGAGAACCAGGCCTGAAGTAAATTCATTCTGGATTATGTAAAGTACCACAGAAATCAGGAGGAGACACTAGGGATGCTCATTGTCAGATCACGTTCCTTAATGGAAATCTTGTGAGGTTATTTGTACGTTTGCCGCAGCAAGAGCTTCCGTGTGACCAAAGACAAAGAGGAATTGCAGGCAGGGCATTTGGTGCTAATTGGGTTCAATTGCTTTGGAATGCAGCCTGGTAATATGACCAAGATAATCCAATTTGGAAGTCTTCAGTAGAGAACATACAGAACAGCTCACGTATCTGGAAAGAAAGAAGGATCTGTGCTGTTCATGGTGAGGAACAGAAGCTTATAATCTGGAGTAGAAGATTTTATTAAAATGGGCCAAACATGCCAAACATTACTATTTTCAGAAAACTAAACAAAACATCAAGTTTTTTTCACAAACAGAAACGTTTGTGCCAGAAATGTTGCTTCTGGACCTCATCCCTTGTCATCAACACTTCCCTGTAATCTGTAAAGAAGTGTGATTACCCACATTGGAATATGAATCAATGTTTTCTTAGAATCCCCATCCCCAGTTCCTTGATAAACCAGAACTATTTATCAAACAAAGATTAAAAAGCTAAAAAAAAAATCTTGATACCTAATACTGGCAGCCTTAAGTCTACTGTGGGTTCACCTTCCTTTCACTGGATCCTTCAACAGGAAGTACTGAAGTTAGCAATGCTTCATATAGCAAAGAAAACAGGTGGCAGATTTACACATGACTCTTTGGTCATGAATGCCCTTCTTACAGAGTAGACAACCATGGAATTTGTCGAGTGGGTTGGTATCTGTTTATATGTAACTCAATATGTTATTCAGCCACCGAGTCACAATTAGAATGCTTTCAGGCCTCCACATTAAGGGCAGAGGGATGACGTTAAGTAGGGTATTTTCCCAATGGTGTACTAATGTATATTTTTGCTGGTTTAATATACAGAGGTTAACCAAGCATTTCCTTCTGGGCTGGAAAGTCTGGATTAAAAAGGAAGTAAAATTAGGGAAGGAAGCATTATAACTCCTGATGGAGGAGCCCTTTGTCTTCTGCGTGTAGGTGGTTAATATTTCTGTCTTCAGAGTACAAACAAGAGCCTTGTGGCAAGTTAAAGATGAATAGGCTTATTGTGTTAAACCTGTTCAGCTTTAAGGTGCCACAAAACCATGCTGCTGCTGCTGGTGGTGATGCAATATACTAATGACTCCCCCTCCATAATGCATTCTTATCACGTACGCTGTTGGGCTCTTCAGACAACTGCTATCTTTCACATTTCATAAAATTCTGGATTCCATTTAGGATAAGGTAGAAACTGGAGAGCATCCAGTCAGAACCCACATATACAACAGACATGTCTCATGGTTCCATAAAATGATATTTATTACTTTTAAAACCCTAGGTGTTTTCATCTGTCAATATTTTAAGGCCTTCAGCTCTCGAAATACTCCCTGCTCTCTCAGCCCAGCCCTGTCTAGATAAAAGTGCCCTTGAATCTAATTAGCATGCTCTGGCTGCAGGCAGCTTTGGAGTAAAATTTATAGCCATCCATTTTCCTGTATCAGTTGCCAGTAAGTTGCAGACTCCTAAGAGAAATTTCTGCAGGCCATTCCCTTTAACGTATATACAGACTACGTAATGCAGTGCTCTCTTTAATGTATCTACTGACTAAATAACACAATGCACAAATAAGTAGCTGTTTCTATACTTTGTGATGTTTATACAGTACACGTGTTCTCTTTTAGA